TAATACGACATTCACAAAGCATCTCAAAGGAATATATAAGAAAATGATAAGGAGAGGGAACCACACTGAATGGCTGGTACACAGAAGAGAGAACTTTTGAACTCAATCTGAAACATGTGAATTAGCTATTCAAAAATGAGGAAAAAAAAGGTTTAATGTTTAGGTTTGCCTTTCACAGTATTAATACATAACTCATAAGATCACTTCTAAACTCACCAGGCTCAATCTGGTTGCATGTACATAAAATTATATTACCCAACATTATTTAGTGATACCCATTATATGCCAAGTATGTCTAGATACTACAAATGCACCACTTCTGATCTTCGTAATAAGCAGGATCTGTATCTCCGTTTCAGGAAAAAGAAATCAGGCTTACAGGTGATTTATTCAAGGCCTCACAACTATAAAGAGCAAAGCAATCTGGTTTCCAATATTACCCCAAACTTTCTAACTGGTTAAGCCCAACAGAACAATCTAATTTTGCTGTCTTGCAGTCTCTCATCTTACACTGAACCTCTTCAAGGTACACTGACACTATGCATTCTTCTGACGTCCCTTCTCTGCTTCCAGGAAGCTTTTGTCTTCCTCCAACAAACATTCCCTAAGGTTCTTTCAGTCCTGTGAACCAACTGCTCTTTTGCCTCCATGCTCTTCCTGGGTCATTTTATCTACTCTCAAGATTTCCTGCAGGCTTCAGTCTCCCTTATCAACCTTGAATAAACTCATCATATCCAAGTATAAGTGCCCACAGTGGAAGTGACAAATGGACGCTCCCCTTGATTTTTCCTTGTCCTCTACCCACAGGGTTTCTGACATTTTAACCACTGTCTGCCACACAGTTACTTAAACATTTGGTAGCTGAGGTGCAACAGCCACAACATAAACATGAGAACCAACATTAATGTTTTATTTCCCTTATGTTCCAATCCAGTTTTATTTGCACTAAATGTTTCTTAAATCTGTCCCTCTTTTCCATTCCAATAACCATCCCCTCACTGCTCTTGTGTGGCCTTACTGTAACTACTTATCTATCCAATACAGCATTCCGTGCAGTTTTTTGGGGGGGGGGGGGAGAAGAAAAAAAAAAAAAGCCCACGCTGTTTACCTCCTTAAAACTTTTCCTGTTTCTGGGGCGCCTGGGTGGCTCAGTCATTAAGCGTCTGCCTTCGGCTCAGGTCATGATCTCAGGGTCCTGGGATGGAGCCCCACATCAGGCTCCCTGCTCCGCGGGAAACCTGCTTCTCCCTCTCCCACTCCCCCTGCTTGTGTTCCCTCTCTCGCTGTGTCTCCTCTGTCAGATAAATAAGTAAAATCTTTAAAAAACAAAACAAAACAAAAAACTTTTCCTGTTTCTATGATGAAATAAAACCAAGCTCCTTAATATGGCACACAAGACACTTCTCATGATTCTCAGCCACTATGTACCTCCCCAGTCACTCCACGATTTTAGTACTTACACACCTTCATGTTCCAGTCAATGTCCACGGTTTTACCTCTCTTTAGGGCCATTCCCACCCCGTCTTCCTTTATTCTGCCAGGGGTGGAGGGGACTCTGCTTTGGTCCACATGTACTTTCCTATGCCTCACCTGACAGTCTCTTATTTTCTCTTTATCTACCACCCACATTCCTTAGAACTAAGGTGGCTTACCTATCCATGATCTTTCTTTTTAGTCACATGACGGTCACTGACTTTACCACACTGTGTTATTATGTAGCTACTTATAAATCTTTAAACTTCTCGGAGAGGACTCAATTATCTTTGTATTAACAGCACCTAGCACAGTGTCTGGCACTTATTAAATGCTCAATAAATATTAGTTGAATGAATGAGCTGACCAACAGAGACATGTAGACATACAACTACGTACGCCCATTTTCATGGCTCTAAAACCTAGGTCTTTCCATTGTTCCCTGGGTTATCTCCAAGACATTACATCAAATTAAGGAGTGCCTGCTGCATGGCACAGAGGAATTCAGTGTATGGGTGGCTGCTAGCTCTGCCCCCTCCTCCCTTCATAAATGCTAACGGTAGTTTGATGCTTCTGTCAACTTGGAACTATACAGCTGTCCAATTTTCTCATGTAATCCCTGGATTTTGTTTCTGCTATTCATGTGTAGCTTGCTAAATGCTTCTAATTATTCTTTGCATACCGAGGTTTCTTTCATTTTTCCTACAAGTCTTAGCTTTCTAGTGAATGGCAAATCATTTCTCTTTGGACATCTGTTTTCAAATGGGAAAATTATCTCAGAGATGTCTTCAGTAATCTTTCAAATGTTCCTCTGTTGACATTTGAGAGCTGCATTTTTACAGTGAAGGATCTTGTTCCAGACCAAAAAACCTGGATTCTACATAATCAAGGTTTGTTGCGAAACAATTACTTGTATTTGGTGTGTGTATGTATGTATTTGTGTGTGTGTATATACATATATATACACATATATATATATATATATATAAAATCAACAGTTCTACATAAAGGAAAAATAAAGGTATGCGACAAAATAGCTCTTCCGGTACTGCTTCCTCTGTAATATTGTTAGTGCCCTAGTCCTGTACGTCTTAATAACTTTGCTTCTCAGAAACACTCTGCTGGAAAATCTACATAATACAAACCCAAACACAAAAAAATTTAAAATCCCTAGACAGTTCAGCACACATGTATTTGTCCCAGAAAGATCCTAAATTCAGTTAACTTTACCGCCTCATGTGCCCTTTCTAAACATGAACTGAAGAACTGAGGAAGACGGCTGGTTAAACAGGGAGAGTTTGCAAACTAACTTTGGGAAATGAATACCCAGAGCATCACAGTACCATGGTCTTAAACCAAAACAAAACCCTACATTTTAAAACCAAAAGATCATCAGTTTGGAATTATTTGCACCTACTCTTGGATCTAAAAACACCTGAGAGGTGACTCTTTCAGAAATACTTTCACCCTAACAATATTTCAAGTTGGGAACCTTACTGTGACTCTGATTTCCCCCAAATCTAAGTCCTGTATGTGAGCAATGCGAAAATAAAAGCAAATACTCAAGTGTCTTCTAAACAAAAGTATACTAAAAAGGAAAACGAATAACAGGATTGCACTTAAGTTTGCTACAAAAGAATATAAATAAGAAGTATAAAGATGGAGTAAGTTTTGACTGGGATGGTGGTTAACAGCAGGTGAACTCAAGTGTCAAAACTCATTGTACTGCATGCTTAAAAGCGCGTGCATTTTGTTTTTACAGCTCACAAAACAGCAAAAACCGGGCAGGCCCGAAAAAAGAAGCGCAACCACATCTTTAACAGAAGAAGTGCACAAACAGAAAATGCATGTGGGGGTGTCCTGCTGGACCACCTACAGCGTCTCATTCCCGAGGGAGCCCGGTCCCAAACTGAAGCTTCCGTCCAAGAATGCTCGGGCCGGCTGCAGTTGGCGTCCCAAGGGTCAGTTCCTTTTCGACGCTTCGCCAGCCGGCCCGCAAACGCTCCCCACCCGCCGCTCCAGGCTCGCGTACCCCGCGCCCTCACTGGCCCCAGCAGCTCTCCCACCTTACTCCCAACTCCGCCCCTACGTCCGGCACTCAGCTCCTCTCGCGCGCCCAAATCGCCTTCTCCGCTCCGAGCCCTTCCTGCGCAAGCCGCGCTGCTTTCCTTCCCAGCCAGCTCGCGGGTCTGTGCTGGGCCCGGCTTTCCAGCTCGGGCGGGCTCCTGCGACCCCTCTGCCCGCTCCCACGCCCCTCCAGCCCCCCGGCCCCCACCCCCGCCAGCCTCCCCGCCCCTCCCCCCGCGGGCGCTCACATTTTCCGTTGCCGCTCGAACTCCGCTTTCTTCTCCTCCTCCTCTCGCTTCTGCTTCTCGTCCAGGCTGCTGCGCTTGCTCACCGTGCGCCCGAAGATGTCGATGCGGTCGGGCGGGGACGAGGCGCGCTCCCGGTCCCGCTCGCGCCGGGACACGGCCGTGTTGGTGGAGCGCGAGCGGGACCGCGACTCCCGCCGCCGGTTCCGTTTACTCTCCCGGGATTTGGAGCGCTTCCGCACGCGCTCCTTGTCCCGGGACCGCGACCGCGACCGGCTCCGCTTCTTGTTGTGTTTGCTGCTCTTGGTGTGTTTGGAGCGGGACGAGCTCCGGCTCCGAGACCGGCCCATCCTTCCGGGCGACGCTGTGGCGAGCCGCTGGCCTCGGGCCCCGCACGCGTCCCACTGCGCTCGCCTCCGCCTCCGGACCCCGGCTGGCCGGGCTGTCGAGGCCGGGGGAAGGAAAGCTGTCAGCCAGCTGACTTTACACCGCTCTCTTAGGTCGACGGCCGCCACGAAGGCCGCCTCCAACGACAAGGCCGCAGCGCCAGGACTTGCAAAGATGGCAGCCGCGGCTGCACCGGCCGCCCTTCCCACACTGCCCCGCGCGGAACGCGCCGCTACGCGAGCCCCGCCCCCTGGCGATGGTTGCCGAAGGCGAAGCGAGTGCTTCCGAGCGCACTCGGCTCCTTCCGCCGGCCCCGCGCCCGGCGGACGCTCCGGAGCCGGAGTCCCCGCCTTAGCTTTGGTGCGCTTCTGCTTTCCGGTCAGATGCCAACGCCGGGAGGATGAACCCGTCACGTTTTGGTGAGAATGAAATCGTGCCTCCGCAGGAACTGACCGACTGCATCATTTTCTAGGAGCCGGATTGGTCTCAGGAGCCCCACACTGTATCCGAGTGACCCTGAGCGGATGACCTGGGTCTCTGAGCTTCGCTTCCGCGTTTGTTCGGTGACGATAACCGCGCCCTGTGAAGTGGTTGTGAGGCTTCCAGGAGGTGACGTCGGCTCTGATAAGGGGAGGCCCGTGCTTGGTACAGGGCCCCACGTGGCGGGAGTTGATCTCCGTGCTTTGCGTTTCTTAACGGGCTCGACTCGCGGTTAGGGGTGGGGACGCTGAGGTCCAGCAGGTGCGCCAGCCGGTGCGGAAGGTGGTTGTCCCGGTCCCGCGGCTGGCAGGGGGCAGGGCAGGGCGGGCGTCTGCGGGCGGGCCCCAGCCGGGCGGTCTCGGTTCCTGCAGGGCACAACCCGGACTCCTTCAGGGAGGAGACCTACTGTGCGCAGGGGTAGAAAACCTTGAGAGCCGGAGTGCCTCAGTTTTAAAACCTTCGGTAAGAGGCTTAACTCGAGAGAGGTAAGGAGAAAATTAAAAACCTCCCTTTTGGACAAATAATAGCCTCTCACAAATGAAGCAATAAAAAAGATTTCCTCCGCGACCTCTTACACCAGAGGTACAAAGTACTTAGGGGCGAACCTCAGCAAGTTACAAGATCCTCAGGATGAAATCCCTCAACCTTGGCCGAAAGGCAGAAACAAGACCCGAGTAAGTGAAAAACAGGTGCCACCTCTTTGGATAACAAGTCAGTATCAAAATCATGCCAGTTCTTTCCGAGTTAAGTCACAAAATCGGCGCAGTTTCCATCGGAGTCCCAAGTTCTCTTGGGGATGTGTTAGAACTAACGGATTTTAGATTTTATACAGAAGATTACATTGTTGTGAATTATCAGGAAGCCCTTTAAAAAAGAGGAATAAGCATTTGCCCTACAAAAAATAACTAAACTGAACACCAAGATACTGACACAGCAATAGGAAGATAATCAATGGAATAGGAGGATAGATCTATTATTATTTTTCTTCAGATACCTTCAAGTAAAAGAAAAAAACTTTTAATAATATAGATGGTAGAGCATTATCGCCATGACAGTGTAAATATTTTTGTCACTCTAATATGTATACACACACGTGGGATGACACCCGTCTAATGTTAAAGATAAGTTATTTCTGATTAGTTGATACATTGGTTTCCTAGAGCACCACGAACGGGTGGCATAAAACAGAGAAACTTAGTCGCTTATGGGGTCCAGAAGTCCTAAATCAAAATGTTGGCAAGCTTGGTTCTTCTAGGGCTCTTGGGGAGAGTCTGTTCCACGCTTCTCAACTTCCGGTGGTTGCTGGCAATCCTTGGCATCCCTTAGCCTCCAGTCTCTGTCAGTTTCATCACATGGCATCGACTGTGTGTCTGTCCTCTTATAAAGACACTAGTTACTGAATTAGGACCCAACCTAATCCAACATGACCTCATCTTAACTTAATTATATCTGCAAAGGCCCTATTTCCAAATAAGATCACCTGTCCAAGGTGGACATGGATTTTGGGGGACACTAGTCAACCTACTACAGGTTGGATTTTTAAAAAACTTCTCCTTAGTGTTTTTTCTACATGCTGTGAATTCTTTATAAATAGATGATATTTTAGGAAAAAAATAAGGGATGTTTCTTTTAAAAACTACAGGAATGTGGAAAAACTCCACCATATATGACCAAGATGATGCTTTAGTGGAAAAAATGGTTTATTAAATACTGTTGCTGTAATTAAAGAGATTAAAAATAAAATGCAGTTAATTTAAAAATTTTGCATCCTAACAGGAGCAAAAGTAAATTTAAGATGGATTGAAATCTAAATATATTCAAAAGCATATGCTTTTTTTAATAATCATGCAAGATATAAAAATAAGAAAATGAAGCAATGAATATACCACTTGGAGATGTAATAAGACACGCAAAATCCTGTGTCTTACCCAAAGCTTCTCATATAGTGCTTGGGCCCTAGAATTTCCATTTTTAACAAGTACTCCACATTCTCTTGTAGGTATTCCACCAACCACATTTTGAGAAACACTGGTGTAAATGAATAGGTTAATACATTTGTCTATATAAGTAAAATTTGAGACTTTGGGAGAACATATAATATTTAGCAAGCAAGGCATTAATATCTCTACTGTATAAAGATTTCTTAAAAAGAGTTTCTAATAATAAGAGAAAGACCACTCAATAGAAAAATGAGCAAAGAATATACACCTGCAATTCACAAAGGACATACAACCAATTAAAAAAAAAACTGATAAAAGAATCTAAACCTCACTAATAACCAAGGAAATGCAAATTTAAATAACAATTATTTGTGTGTGTGTATGTTTTCCTTTAATATTGACAATTATTTTAAAAATTACTAATAAAGTGGTATGGCAAAGGGTTGATTTAGCCATGCCTATCAGCACTTTAAGCTTTTACATCCCATAAGCTGGCAGTCTAACTTCCAAGAATTTGTCTCACAGATATAACACAATATGCATGATATACTGATGTATAAGAATATTCATTGGGGCATTATTTGGATGTCAGACAATTGAAAACAATCGAACATGGAAGGATGAGAAGTCTGCGGCACAGCCACAAATTTAGTATGATACAGATTTATATGGACTGACTTGCAAATATGTTCTTACTATAATTATGGCTGGTAGGTGAAAAAGGAAAGTTGTAGAAGAATGTGCAGGTTGCAGTCTCATTTTTGTTTCTCAGAACATATGTGTGCTTATATTTCTGTGTGTGAATGATAGCTACATATTTACATAGAAGGATCTAGAATTGGAGGAGTAGTCTGGGGATTTATTCTGGTTGCTTGCAAAGCACGTGATCTATTTTATTTAGGTTACACGTATTCTGGGGTTGGCTTAAAGATCATTTCTAGAACTTTTTTTCAAATTTTGTTAGTTAACATACAGTGCAATTATGGTTTCAGGAGTAGAATTCAGTGATTCATCACTTACATACAACACCCAGTGCTCATCATAGCAAGTGCCCTCCTTAATACCCATTACCTGTCTAGCCCATCCCCCACCCACCTCCCTCCGTGAACCCTCAGTTTGTTCTCTATAAATAAGAGTCACTTATGGCTTGTTTCCCTCTCTCCTTTTTTTATTTTCCCTCTTGCCATATGTTCATCTGTGTTCTTTCTTAAATTCCACATGAGTGAGATCATATGGTATTTGTCTTTCTCTGAATTATTCACTTACCGTAATACACTCTAGCTCCATCCATGTTGTTGCAAATGGCCAGATTTCATTCTTTTTGATGGCTGAGTAATATGTTGTAGTACATATAATTACCATATTTTCTTTATCCATTCATCAGTTGATGGACATTTGGGCTCCTCCATAGTTTGGCTATTGTTGATAATGCTGCTAATTTATGGAACTTTTAAAAGAAGATGATATATATCACACTCAAGCCATGTCTTTTTGCTGCCCCTGGGTGGGGGGACCCCACACACAAAAAAAAGTGCATCAAGCACCCTACCCCCAGCCAAATTACTAGGGGTTGTCTCTGAGGGTGCAGGGAAGGAACGAGGGGCATACATATTTCATGCCTCCACTTTATAATATAGTCATCGAAGTCTCAGCATTTAACACTCCCTGAATTACCTTGTTTCCTTATATATTTACTTGTTTATCGATTCTCTTCACCAATGAAATCCAAATTTAGGGCCCTTTGCTGCTTTGTGTTCACTGACACCCACAGGTTAGTATGCTAACCTTGATAAATGTACACTGAGTACATGTTGAATGATGAGGATTTGAGTGTGTTTTGCTTTGAGTTTGGTTTTATTTGTTTTGCTTTTGGCTTCTGTTTAAATTTCCAGATGCCCGCCTCCTCCAATCCTTTCTCCCAAAGTGTTCCCTCGGTTCATTTTTGAATAATCACAATAGCCAAGTGTAAATAACAGATCCTTTAGAAGCAGATCATTCTGAAGCACGATCTCCTAATATATATTAAAAAAAATGCCAAGGAACTGCCTAAATATATCTTTCCTCCTAATTCTTACATTAGTAATCCTCAACTCCTTTTGCCAGCTTTTCAAAATCTGAGGTGTATCCTGTAACATGTTGATGAAGCCCCATTTATTCAGGTCATAAATATTGAGTACATAGTTTGTGCAAATTACTGTGCTAACTGCTTATAGATTCATACCTACACTTCAAGTATAGGCAGAGCTGTGGACACCAGGTGCAAATCTCCCCATAGTTCATGTAACAACCAATTAGTTTTTGTTGTTTCTTAGAAGATCATCTCCCTAACTTTGCCCTGAGCTATCTGACACACTCATCCCTTCCTGCCCCACTCAACTGCTTACCCCTTGGCAGGTTAGTTCTCCTTAGCAGAACTTTACATACTTGTAATTAAAAAAAAAAAAAGTTGTTTAGTGAGCTCCTCAAGGCAGGGGGACCACGTCTGATTTGTTTGCTGCTGTTTTCCCATCATGCCATGGGACTTTACATGGGGGAGGCATTTAACAAAACAATCTGAAGGAGTAAATAAACGTGGGATGCGTTGTCTGGTTTCTCCTAGCAACCATAAAACATGGCTTCTTTTAAAACTGCTTTTGACAATTCAAAATTACAGAATGTTACATACTTTGAATATAAAGTAAACTGATTTAATCACAGTTCTGGTAATAAAATCAGCAAAACTTTAGCTTCCGACAACTATCTTGATTCAATTAAAAATGTTCAGTTCTGTACAAAACATATCGCCTTTTTTTGTCCTAGACAAATGTTACTCCAATTCTCCACCTAAAAGTATTGTCAGGAGGCCCTATGCTAAGCAAGGTTAATTGTAAAATTGTAAGTGCGCCTCTATGAAAAAAAAATACAGTATTTGCCTAAGAAACAGGGAATTTTTTACTCAGAAAGAAAGAAGAAAACCTTCAGACTAAGCACGTACAGATAGTCAGCAACAGATGCAGATTGCCTTTCTGCTCAAATGCTTGAAGAGCAAGGCTGCAAAAAGTCTTGGTGTTGTGAGCACAGAAGGGCAAAGAAAGCCCCTCCAGAAATTTGCCCAAACTAGACAGTGACTAGATCCCATCTCTGAGAGATGGCAGCATGCGATTGGCAAGCTCTGACATGGAGCCAATGCAGAGCAGAGGCCAAATTTCATGTCATATAAGAAACAAGTCTGAACTTAAAAAGGAGAGACTTTATTCAAAAGGATTATTGCAAGGAGTGGGGTGTAGCATGTGGGGGATGAAGCCCTGTTGCAATGGGATGTGGGGGACCATGGAAATGGGAAGAATGTCATGACCATAACACCTGCAGGCGTCTCCAGAGTTAGGCAGATAAGGGTTTTCTTTGATAAAGAGGGATAAACAAGGATAGAAATACCCTGTTGTGGGGGGGGGGGGGGGTGAACGCAGAGCATGATTGGATTGTACATCAGAGAATATTTTAGTCTGAGGTCAGCCTAGTCTCAGGAGGGGTTGTCAACTGGTCAGGCTGAGGGTGGACCAAAGTTCGGGCACCTGGAGGCAGAAGAGAAGCTTAACCAAAGTTTGATGAACAAGCATTTTGTTCCTATTGATCAGTGAAGACAAAATAGTTCAGCTCATTTTTGAGGCAAAGAATGGGAATTTGGAAGGGTCTATGTCTGGTCTTGTCCTAGGTAATTAAGGTGGGGAGCTGCTTCTGTGAGTCTTAACTAAGTC